TGAATCATTGCACATGGAATTAGGTCTCATATGAGATGAAGAATTATTGTTAATTTTAATAGACGTGATTATCGTAGTATAGTAGTCATATACACCAGCAGATGCCAAAATCTACCTGGAGAATCTATTAATTCAGAGTGTGTGCTCTGAAGTCAGAAAGGTAGGTACTTTAATCCTACCTGCCTCCAGAATGTGAGCAAGATGCGTGATTTACCTGGTTCTCAAGCTTCTCTGTTGTGTGTGAAAAACACATGATCATACTAGTTCCTACAGTTCTATTATGACAAGATAAGACTTATTCACAAAGTACCCTATGTTGCAATGCCTGGAACATAGAAAGCTTGTCCTAAGTGTTATGAATTGTTACTGGTTCCATTTTATGTTATCCTTGTCATTAGCAGTCAAACTAATGAAGGAGAGAACACAGGAAGAAACGCACACACCAGTATTCTAGTCTACATCTTGTGTTGAGATCGTGAACTTTTCTCCTACGTTTCTATAGAAATTGCATGAACACTCTTGGTGGCCATGCTTAACTCTCTTGCTATGTGTCCATCTCATTTATTCATTTGCTGCCAGTTCAGTGGAACATTATTGAAACATCAGAGACCATGTCTCATTTGTTAAAAGAGGGGTTCTCAGGGAAGAAAAGATCCCTAAAACATAAAACCCTGGATTCTTTGATCCCTTCCTCCTTGTCTCCAAATGCTAATCCAAACCAAACTCCTACAGGCAGCCAGTACTCACCTAACGTGGGAAATGTTCAAAGAGAAAGAAGAGAGTCTTCTGACGGGCACACAGAAAATATATAAGAGTGTAGACACACTAACCCAGGAACTGTTTGGCGAGGGAAAGACAAGACTAGTGGGTTGATGTGTTCTCCCTGTATTTTCACTAGCCATTGCTCAATGTAAAGCAGAGGTGGGTGCTGAGGGCCTAGGGATCCTTTGTTCGCCCTCCAGGGAAGAAGATGAACTTGTCCACAACTGTGAGTCATCACTCCTTAGGGATGTGCACTTGTGCGCTGCCCAAGGCTCAATGGGCAGTGTGTGTGTACCTACCAGAACAGCTAGCTTCAAACTCACATACTCCCCAGATAAGGGACTAGGACCTTCTGAGCCTTCATATAAAATAGTACTCTCCTTGCATAGTTATCATAAGTATTGACAACAGGACTAATAAAATTCTTGTGAAAAAGCTTCACACGGGCTAACCTAGTACATATCTTGTTTCCATACACAGTGCAGTTCTACCTAAGCCACAAGACATAAGGTCTCTACGAAAATGAAGACTTGTATGGACTGCTTTAAAACCTTTAATACTGTTCTAATAGCTACTAATTATTCTGCTTTCTATTTATACATTTAATTCTACTCCAAGCAATTTATGTGTAAACTTTCATTAAAAATTATTAATAATTACATGAGTATTCAATAAGAGAATTTACTAACTGATATCTTCAAATAATTTATTTAAAAAGAAAATACTACCAATCCAACAGAAGCAAATTAGCTAATGAAAATACAGAAATTAACAGCCTTCTCATTCCCTTGTTAAATGTATGTCATTATTCTCCATAAAACTGTTTCAAAGTGAGTTGTTCAAAAATATCACCAGTCTGTGTGATCCAAGGATCATAAATAATAAAAAGCTAATTCAAAGGAAACACATAGACTAAAAACATTTTTATAACTGCCTTTCAGAATGAGACCATAAACCTCATGACTTCATTTACAAGCTGGCAACCCCTACAGTGAATTTGTTTATGAAATAAATATCAAATAAGTGCTGAACTGCTAATGACAAGATCCACAGCTCAAACTCATCAACTGTTCTCAAGAGAGAGAGGCTGTCCTGTCCCCTTAAATATTGACAGCCTTACATAGCCTACACTGAGTCTATCTGGGTCAGAATAAGCTCTAAGATACTAAGTTTTGAACATAAATATACATAGGATGTAATATTGCATTTTATATTATATTAAAATATAATATTACATATTAAAATAAATACATATGTATAAATCTACACACACATGTTTGGAATGTGGAGGATTCAACCTTGCAGGAAACTAGTTGGTAGGCACTCAGTAAACTTTGTTGAAATGAACTCTAATGGGATGTGGTAGAAAGAATGATGAATATTTCTTTTAGATGATCACCTGAGGGGGTACCTATTAGACATGGATCCCTATATTCTGGTAGACATTTCTGGTGAAATATTCCACTTTAGCTTGAAAACCATCGTGTCTCAAACTGTAGTCACTATCTCCTGAACTTGGACCTATTTTAGTGCTCTTAAAAAAGGCAATTGTCACTTAAATAACCACATGCATTTTTTTATTATCAAATTGTATAACTATTACCCCTTAAATATCTCCTGAATTCATTCTGTTTCATTGCATAGCTACCAGAAACTCTTATCTATGCTATATTAATAACCTTATAAAAGAATATTCTATATCTGTTCTTTCTTGTCTTCCTTAATGCATTCCTCACACTTCAGACTAGGTTTTTACTAATGAACATTTCATCAAGTCATTTCTTAGTGCAAATCTTGCAACCTTGGCAATTACTATTTCTTTTATCTTCATTTTTTTTCATTCATACATTTGTATGGTTGCCAAATAGTCATTACATAAGAATCAACTCAAACTGAATCTTACTTTAAGTTTATCACTAACAAAAAGATCT